GTGATTGGGAACCTAGTTTAGAGGATTTGAAAAATTCTCCAATTTCAATTTCCTGGAAAATTTGAATAGAATATCTTTCTTTAAGCTCAGTATGAGCCCAGCTTTGAAAGGAACCTGAGTAGTAGGGTCTCCTGAATTGGGAGCTTGGTCAGTTACAGGTGAGACTCTCAACTTTAATTTTCTATGTTCACATGCCTTAATGAATATCTGCTCCTACTTTTTCTGCCTCACTATGAGATGAATTTGCTTTCATTTTTATAAAGAAAATAGCCTGGGACAAAGTGGTCCTTGAGCAAAACAGGTAGTGACATCATTTTAAAAAATGATTGTTCATTTTGATAGGGTCATATGTCTAGGAGATAGCAGGCTGAACCAACGGGGCATATAGAAATATGTTCACTGGCTTATTGAATGAGAACCAGCATCTAAATTAAAGAGGTTTTTAAGAGCAAAGATGTGTAATTAGAGACCAAGGCTAAAATCATCCACACCGTCACATTCCCAGTTACTATGTACAAATGCAAAAGCTGGACAGTGAAGAAGACTGATAGGAAAAAAATTGATTCATTTGAAATATGTTGTTGGAGAAGAGCTCTTATGGATTCCCTGGACTGCCAGAAAGACGAATAAGTGGGTCCTAGAGCAAATCAAGCCTGAAACATTGCTGCGGGCAAAATGACAAAACTGAAGCTGTCCTCCTTTGGGCACATGCGAAGGTAGGGTTCTTTGGAAAAGACAATAATGCTGGGAAAATAAAAAGGCAGCGGGAAAAGAGGAAGACCAAACATGAGCTGGATTGACTCCATGAAAGAAGCCATAGGCACGAGTCTACAGGAGCTGAGCAGGGCTCTTGAGGACAGGACATCGTGGACATCACTCATTCATAGGGTCACTAGGAATTGGAGCCGATTCAGTGGCATCTCACACACACGTCCATTGGTTTTTCCTAAGTTACCTTCCCTAGTTACTGCTTTGAAACATGTCTCACCTGTGGAGCCTGCCTTTATTTTATCCTTGTTTATCTGTTTAAAAATCTGTATCATGGAAGTGTTCAAAGCGTATAGTGAGAGAATAGTATGTCCTTTTATGGTTGGTTGGTTTGAATTAGGATTCATACAAGGCCCATACATTGCACTGGTTAATAATTTTTAATTCTCTCTACAACAGTCTTCCCCCTCCCACCCTTTTTTCAGTATGATTATCTATTTAAGGAATTGGGTTACTCTGCCTATAGAATTTTCCATGTTCTGGTTTGGACCGATTGATTCCTTCTGTTAATATATTTTTGTATTCATAGATTTCCTAAAAACTGGTAATTACATTTAGAGGCTTTATGAGATTCACATTTTCCCCCCACTTGGCAAGAATATTTTATAGGTGGTACTCTTGCTTCCTATGACATCTCATCAGGAGACACAGGATATTATTTGTTCTCTTACTGATCTTAAGATTGAGCAGTGAGTTAAGTAAAATTTTTGCAACCATTTTCAGTCATGGCCTAGATATCTTTTTGAGTAGGCTTGCAAAATGGTGATGTCCTAATTCTCTTTCTCCCTTCACTTTTATTAACTGTAATTCTCCAATAAAAGACGTACTTTTTCTCATTAACTATTGGGTTGCTCTGAAAGTTCAGTCATCATCTGTTTTACCTACTATAAATTATCCTGACAATTAACTACACCACTTAACCTTTTCTTTTTTATATTTGAAACTTTGGAGCTTTTCTCTACTATACTGCTAAATACTTTTTTTTTAATTGAAGCACTCCAAGCAGCCCCAAATAAATGCTAGATGTATAACAATTTAATTCAGTCAACAGGTATTAAGTACCTAATACGTGTGAGGCACTCTGCTGGGTACTAGTTATACAACAGTAAATAAAATAAAATCTCTGCCCCAAAGAGCTTATAGTCAAGAGTTGGGACCTTTATCTTTTATAACTCCATAACTTTGTAAATGGTGTCCCTGGAGTGGTACTGTACAGAGGTTAGAATGGGATGGGTGATAGGTCAATAATAAACTGGCAATTTTTACATGCTGTAGTAAATGCTAGTTTTGGGGGAAGTCAGGGAATAAGTTTTAGAGTTTAAGTTGAGACCTGAGGGATGATGCAGTCATCTTGATGGATAAACAAGAGGGCAGAAGGTAAGAGGGAACAGGGAACGACTTTGGAACTACAGAGGGTTGAGTATGATGGGATGTGGAATGGAGAGATGGACTTGGAATGGAAAAATGAGAACAGGAAAGATAAACTGGTCCCTTTCTTGAAGAGCCTTCCAGGACATGATTTTATCCTGGGGCAGTGGGTAGCCACTGCATAGTTTTAAGTGGGGTATGATATCATCAGATTTGTGTGCGCAGAAAGGCCAGTAATAGTGGATTTGTTTTCTTGAACTTAGGCGTATAGGTCATAAAATTGACTTCAGAGTGTCATTGTCTAGGTGATGCCAACTCACAGCCTTAGGCAGACTCAGTGACACAGGCCACCTGAAAAACAAAACTCGGCCTTCTCCCCAGGAGAACACTAAGGGCCTATAGGGCCCTAACTAACTAGTTTCATAATGGAGGCCCCAGACACTTAATAGAAAAATATTAACAACACAAAGTAGAAAGTGCTGACCTTAGATATAGCTAAAAATCCTGTACTATCGCTTTTTCCTCATGGGTCCTTGTATATTTGTAAACACACCCTCTGTGTTTCCTTCACTCTTAGCATTATCATCTCCCTCTTAAAACATGCATTTCCACTGCTCACCCCTCCTTTTCCTTTCTCCAGGTCATCTTAGCAGCCCTCTGATGCCTCGTTTTCAAGCTGCAGGCCCCTCAGGGCTCCAGCCTCATCCTCTTCACCCAGGGTCTAGGCACTAACTGACCACTCTTCCAGCGAGTGAGGAATGTTGATTCCTGGGGGATTCTCAGGTGCTAGAGAAGGAGAAGACAATTTGCAACCCTTAGAACAGCACGTGCCCGTTCCAAATTCTGTTTTACTCTTTTACAGTTACTAAATCAAGGAGATTTAACTGAAAGACGGACATGAGCATGGGTGCTGAATCATGGAAGAGCAGCTCTGATCCCAGAGTGCATATAGTGGGAACAGCTTGCTTATGGCTCACGGTCTGCTGGAACCAAAATGAATCTGTGAATGACAAGACCCCACTTTTTCCTCTGTTCATCTTCCTGGCATAGAAGATGAATGCAGGAGAGCTTCTTTTCAGATTCTCATCTGATCCAGAAATGGAAGCAAGCAGGGAATGTGGGCTAGGTCATTGTACCTAACTCTCTTCCCACTGTAGAATTTTGGGATGGACTTCTCCCAAAAATGAATTTGATTATGTGTTGGCTGAACTTTCTCAGTGTAACTATTGAGAGGAGGTTTTCCTATGAAGAGTTTCCATCCCAGACTCAGCTGTCTTTTCACATGGATGAACTAAGTCCTGCCACCAACCATAAAACTTCACCAAGAAGTTGAGCTTTCAAGATGCCTTGTTGCTTTGGAGAAGGGAGTGATGTCAGTCCTGTTGTGACATTCTCCCTTTAGCAACCTGAGTAAGAGACTCTCCGCCACTGGGCTGCAAAAAAATAAATTACTTGAATCCCTACTTGGCCCAGGCTGGGGTACTACTTGGTCACTTTGCTTTCTTTGTTTATGGAACATACAGTAGCATGTTTAAAAGGTGTCTTTTTTTTTTTTTTTAAGTTAAATCACATGATTCAGAGCTTCAGTTGTTTTCCCTTTAAATAAACAAAATAGCCCAGTTCTTTGGCTTCTTGTTTTAGACAGAATTTGTTTTCTTAGAGAGGAGATTAATAGTTCAGTCTTCCCCTTTAAGATAAGGTACTGATTTACCCTTAAGATTCCATGCAGGTAAAACTGAGTTCAGGAGTCTTGGGGAACCATGACATGAACACCTTCATCTCCAATTAGCAAACCCAGATCATAGTTATCAGAGTATCACTCTGTCATCACCGGAAAGGACCATGTCTGAGTCTGGAAAGCTGGCAATGAATTTTCCCAGAAAGGTAAAAAACAAAATGAGAAGGGTGCTTCTGTTAGAGTAGGCACTCTTGTTATTTTCCTGGCTCTACAGCTACTGAGAGAGAATATCTAATTATAATTAGTGAGAAGAAAAGTATTTCAGAGATCATTTACTAGTAGAAAATCATGACTATCAGAGGAGTTTCAGATTTATTTAAAATGAACCTCATCCTGACACACACACAAATGCTCACAGGTAACAATCCACATAAATTACAGGAAAGAGCTGCTATTTTAAATAATTATAGTCATCAAGTTGTTAATGATGTGTAATCATCCTTGCTATGTAGATTTTGTGTCAATTACTCGTATTCTTAAAATGCCAGTTTTCACTTCCTGTAGCCTTTATACTAAAGCAGTGGTTCTCAACTGGGGACATTTAGCAATATCTAGAGACATTTTTGGTTGTCACAACTGGAGGAGTATTACTGGCATCTAGTGAGTAGAGGCCAGGGATGCTGCTAAACATCTTACAGTACACAGGACAGCACCTTCTCCCTGCACGGAACAGACTCATCTGACCCAAAATGTCAATAGTGCTGAGGCTGAGAAACCCTGTACTAGAAGTTGCAAACTTGTCACCCCCCAGGTGTTTTATTTTGCCCATACAATATTTCCGAGTAATTTTTAAATTAGTTCCCATCAGCAGATTTTTTGGCTTCTGTTGAAAATGCAGTTGATCTGGCAATTCTGGGCCTGTATTCCAGCAGACTCCCCCATTGTATTACAGCCCGCCATTCAGTCCATTTATTTTCTGACTAGCCCCTGTAGACACTGGGCTTGTGCCCTCTTTTCTGTATCTAATTTTTTTTTTTTTTTTTTGGTTTTTTAATCCTCACCCGAGGATATTTTTTCCATTGCTTTTCAGAGAGAGAGAAACTGATGTGAGAGAGAGACATCAACTGGATGCCTCCCTGGGCCAGGGATCAAGCCTGCAACCAAGGTTTGTGCCCTTGGCTGGAATCAAACCCAGGACCCTTCAGTCTGCGGGCGGATGCTCTAACCACTGAGCAAAACTGGCCAGGGCTGTAGCTAATGTTCAAGTGTGAGGCACAAAGAAAGAGCGCTTAACTTGGCTCTGATCCCTCCACCCTGAGCTGCTCTGCTTGGATTTACTGGAACCTTTCCGTTAATAGCTACTTTTCTTTCCCCCATTCTCCAAGAACAGCCGTGACTCAAACCCAGTTGTTGCCTGCCTTGATTCAACCCCACGTTAGTTGCTTAATATTACTGAAAAGCAGTAATTTCAGTGTGCTGATTAGACAATTGATTGGGGATTATCTAGCAGTTCATAAGACAGCTCCTGTTCTTTCTTGGGGCTGGCAGGCTGTTCTAGAGGCTCTTCTAAATCCTGCTGTGGGTTTCTGATGCCAAGTTTTGTGGTTTCCTGGGTGCTGCAGAATAAATCAAAACATGAAAAACAATTTTAATTACAGCATGTGGAGCTTAAGGATGGCCTCAACATTTTCATCATTTCATGTGGGCTGCCAAAGGGAATTCTAGGTGGAAAATGGGGATAGGAATTAGGGGAGGGGACCATTAGGAATTAAGAAACAACAAAGTTGAAATTGAAAATACTGGCGACGCTATGCTTTCCTCTCAATGGAGGAGGTGGTGCTAATGAGTTATTGTTAAAGAGTGCTGGAAAAACAGTTTTATCATTTTATGGGAAGTATAAATATACATGGTTTTTCAAAAATGGAATGGAAATACTTTTGACTGGTGGCACTAGAACTGGAATGGAAAAATGTTTCAAATTGTAGGAATCTAGGCCTAATATATAATAGTTATATTTCATTCACAGCTGTTCTCTCCAAATATGTTATCTGGAGATACCTGGACAGTATTCTATAAGTACAGGAGAGTGACCTCAAAATACGAGTGGCTGTTCTACAGGTTCCTCTCAGGGGCATTACAAGGGATGGCACCTAGAAAGCTGCAGGATAACAGCATCTTGGGTTACCTGGGATAACCAAGAACTTCTGACTGCTCCTTCCACTGTACAGCCCTGGTGCCCAGAACCTTTTTCCTCACAAAGTCTTCATCCAGCCCGGCCTGCTTCAGGGTGTCTTGATACCGTTGTTCTGCTGCTTTCCTGGCAAGGTCCTGTGGAATGGGAATTAATCTGCTGTAGCTGTCTTGTGAATTACTTGACAATTCTAAATCATTAGCTTAACCTACCTTAAAATAGTGCTCACACACATACACCCCAATTAGTGGGCACAAGATTTGCATAGAAATTACTTTGAGCTTTGTTTTTCAAGCCTTAAAGTACATAGAAGCTACCTGAAGATTTTGTTAAAACATAGACTCTTATGTGGTAGGTCTCAGATGGGGCCCGAAATTCTGTATTTCTAACAGTCCCAGGAGAAGCTAGCTATTGATAAGAGAGCCACACCTTTGAGAAGCAAGGACTTAGATTTTTGGAAGACCAAGTGAGACCAGATGAAAATGATGAACTAAAACCTGAAGATTTAAAAATAACCAAACCATCATGAGGAACATTAAAATATAACAAATAAGCTGTACTCTTCAGTGGTCAAGCATAGGTGGTCTGCATGTGGACCAGGAAAGTTTACTTTTCATTTGTGTGTTTGAGAGCAAAATCATATCAAGTACTTTGCATTTTTCCTAGAGTGCTGGAAGATCTGTTCAAATCTGAGTGTGTGCTTGCTTGAAAAAATATGAAGAGGAGAGGTCAGCATGCGAGATTTTGAACAATGCAAGTTGCTAGGCAAATCTGAGACAGCCCAGTGTGTGATAGGTATGTGGGTGGAAAGGAGTAGACCCAGGAAATGCCTAGATAATGCACTGGCTGTACGATGGAGATAATACCCAGCACTTGGATCTGGGTCACTTGGGAACCCCAACTTTTGAACCCCAACTCTGAAGAGGAGGGTGATCCTCAGAATCTGATGTAGTCCAAAGCCTCCTGAGATGGTGGCCTTTCTAAGGTTGTTCAAGTAGCTCAGAGCTTCCTTAGGGAGGTCTTAACTGAGTCCAATCTCCCTAAAAGTCTAGAGAACAGGTTAAAATGATTCTTCCAACCTGAAAGGCACTTAATCTGGAAAGGGCCTTGTGGGGTGCTTGTGAGCATCCCAACCCTTGGAGACTTAGCAATGTGCCACAGATCTAGAGGATGGGGATGCCCAGGGCACCAGCACTGCAGGAGGAGAGATGTTTTCCCAGCACTATGAACAGTGGCTCCAGACAGCAGAAAAGACTGGATTTTCAGTCACATTAGTAAGTTAAAGATGTGCTTACTAACAGCCAAACTGTCACTGTGTATCTGGGATCACCCCGCTCTGATTCAAACTGAAAGCTAAACTACAGTGAAAACTCTAGGAAGTGAAATATCCCTTTGTAGATGCCTTTGGAGTCCAGTCTTGGATGAAATTAGCCCAAGCAACATTCACTATTACACTACTTATTTTGAGGAAAGATGGTAGTAATAAAATGGGCCCAATTTAGAATCTTTCTGAGCCTCAAGGAAATGTTTAATATTCAGATATTAAACTTTCATAATTTCTAAGAACCCTTTCATCTAAAACAGAAAGAAAGTAAATGATGGTTTAGTTTTACCTTGGTAACTTGTTCGAAGAGATAGGGCCTCGTTTGTATTCTCTTTTTCATTTCCTCCAATTCTTTCTTATACTCTTTTGCTCTTTTACGGTCATTGTTCCTGGAATTAACAAGATTTTTGAGATCCATCTTTTTCCAATCCCGAATACCCTTCATTCCAGTTAAGCAGGGTAAGTCCCATGGACACTGTCAATTCCTGACTGCCTGGGAAAACTTACGACTGCAATTATAGGAGCCTCCCCCGTAATTTTGGGCTCCCCATTTTGCCGCTTATGATCTGTTGGATCCCAAGACCATCAACCCTTTTACACATAGAGGACACTGACCTGTTTTCTTTCAGCTTTGCTTTGAATACCTCCTCCAGGCTTTTATGGGGATCCATGGCTTTTGCACGTAAGGTCACGGATTTAGACATTGCCTGACACTTCTTTTTATGCATCTCCAACCACTGAGCAGTACTCTCATCTGCTTTGTCCTTTTTTTCAAGTGAGCTTCTAAAGGGAGGAGGTGAAAAAGCATACAGATGACCAATGTGGGTATATTTAAAAGCAATCTTGGGCCTGGCCGGTGTGGCTCAGCGGTTGAGCATCAACGTATGATCCAGGAGATTGAGGTTTGATTCTTGGTCAGGGCACATGCCCGGTTGCGGCCTCGATCCCCAGTAGGAGGCGTGTAGGAGGCAACCGATCAATGACTCTCATCACTGATGTTTCTATCTATCTCTCCCTCCTTTCCTCTTTCTGAAATCAATAAGGACATATTTTTAAAAAATAAATAAAAGCAATCATAGTAACCTTTCTGAAAAGTTGGTGTGTTCTGTGAATAGGGTGGGTAATTTACCTCCCTGCCATTTCAGAAAGATTAAGATTCTGGCATTAAATGCACAGGCACATGACGCCTTCCCAGCACTCTGGATACAATGATATTCTACCTAGGAGTTTATTAATTGAACTGAAAACATGTGAGTTAAAATATCCTTACTTAGCCCTGGCTGGGTAGTTCAGTTGGTTGGAGCATTGTCCCAAGGTTGTGGGTTAGATCCCAGGCCACGGCACATATAAGAATCAACCAATGAATGCATAAATAAGTGGAACAACAAATTGATCTCTCTCTCTCTCTGTCTCTCTCCCTTCCTCTCTCTAAAATCAATAAGTAAAAATTAAAAATATATATCCTTACTTAAATACCCAAACATCCAGGTCTGTTGCTTATCTTGAAAAAAATACTAATAGTTACCATTCTCTGAGTTACGTACCCTGAACCAGTGCAAACAGCCCACAAGTGCTTTATGTCCATTATCTTGTGTAATCCTCATAACTTTCCTGTGAACTAAGAATTATGAGCACCCTTCTTATAGGTAAGGAGATGTAGCCTCAGAGAGGGTAAGCTACTTGCTCAAAGCCACCCAGCGTACCAATAGAATATCTAAGATTAGAACCAGGATATCTAACTCCCAAGCCTCTGCCCTTGGTGTATAAACTGCTATAAACAGTGGGCTGGAAGGTGACTGGTCCTTTGGGAATACAAATCTGCATTTGTACAGAGAACTAGAAATGGACCTGTTTCAATGCACAATCTGAGGTCAACTTTTAGTACTTAGTTTATGTAAATACTCTGAGGTACTATGGAGAGTTCTACCAAAAGTCACAAGTCAGGACTCTTGCATTTGGCTGTTTACACTCAAGTGGACAGATTAGGAAGGAGGACATTGAAGTTTAATCTCCTAATATGTCAAACTCCCTATTGCTAGGAAACAGCTGTGGAAAACCTCTATAGGTGGGCCAGCCTCTGGTTCATGATACCTATCTTATTAGGACCTCAGGATATTGATATATTCAGCCTTGATTTAGTAGCTCTATGAAATTTGAGGAAAAAGGGAATATCGCTTGAATTCTAAATATATTTCTACAATCTATTGTGGGTCTTAAAGGGCCAAGTCGGTTCCATGTACTCCTGTGAGCCCCACAGGAAAGCACTAAGATGCGGGTCCTCTGCTCGCTTCCGCTCAGAGGCCTAGTGGAGGAGCTCTTGCTGGCTCAATGAGAACAATACCATGACAGAGGCAGGTCAGTTAAAGAGCTCAAAATGAGGAGGTGCCTGACTCCCAGTGACTTCTCAGTGCCCCAAGATGAATCTCAGAGAATCTCAAACATGGGCAATGGATGCCTCCTCTCTGTGGCAGGCTCAGACACCTGTCGTCATGCTTCTGAGTTCCTGTTCCTGTTGGCTTCCTTCCTCTTCCATCTATGGGTTGTACCCATGATGTTCTGTCTGGAACCTTCTTTCCTTCCAGCCTTTGGATTATTCCTCTTTCTTCAGGTTTCACTTTAGACCAGGGGTGGGGAACCTTTTTTCTGCCAAGGACCGTTTGGATATTTATAACATCATTTGAGGGCCATACAAAGTTATCAACTTAAAAATTAGCTATGAAAAAAAGCTCCTAGATTTATTGAATTTTGAGTCCCACAGCTGCCTTGGCAAGGCCAGACCAAATGATTTCTTGGGCCATATATGGCCCGTGGGCTGGACGTTCCCCACCCCTGCTTTAGACATCTATTACAAGAGACCCCTGCCCAGGCTTCCCAGTGCCCCCACAGTCCTCTATTCCTCATCATCGCACTACTCACAAAATAAGGTAGTTGCTTCTTCTCTTTTCTATATTGCAGACTAGCTATTAAACTATAGGCTCCATAAGGTTATCTCTGGCCTTAACATTCTGCCTGGCACAGTAAGGCCCTGTGAATATTTGCTGAATGATAGCTAGGTGTTTTCCAGCCCTAAGTGTGGAGGATCACATGCATTCCTGTCCTCATCAGAGAATTCCCTTCCACCCCTTTAGGTCTTTCTGATAACAGGAGGCCCAGCAGCAGGGTGGTTTCCATCACGTGGGCCATGAGCTGGGCATTATGAGTCTTCTGCAGCCTGCCTACTCACCTGACTGCAGATTCCCTCTTCCTGGTGGCATCTGTGATGTGCACAGGGAGGGTGTTGGCAGAGAGAGAAGCAAGACCACTCAGAGAATGACTCCTTGGCCGGGGTGTGGCGGGTGGCTGTGGAGAGTCCTAGAGGAAACAAAGGCTGGTATTGGTGGGGCAGCATGTGTGATTAGTTTCTATCTTAACTGGAATCAATCTCAGTGAAGGACTAGTCAGACTAAGAATCATTTTTCCAGGAATGAAAGCGAAGGGTAATTAGATCTCATGCTTAGTAACTGGGACAGACTTGGATATTAGTCCATAAGTTATTTGGGTTCTTTGGTTAACTTCACCAGAGGATATTTTTTTTACTGCTTTTCAGGATATTATTTTACTGCTTTTCAGAGAGAGTAGAAAGAAGGGAGGGGGGAGGAGGAGAGAAATACCAATGTAAGAGTGACACAACCACTGGCTGCCTCCCGCATGCACTATGACCGGGGGCAGGGATCGAACCTGAAACCCAGATAAGTGCCCTTGACCAGGAATTGAACCTGAGACCCTTCGGTGCATAGGCCGATGCTCTAATACCACTGAGCCACACCAGCCAGGGTTCAATCCTGAAGTTTTTAATCAAATGAGAAGAGTTCTTTGGAACTGGTATAGGGACACAACATTGATCCTAACTCCCTGCCTTTTAGACCTGCTTGAACTTATTTCTGCAATTTCTCTAAAGAGAAGGAAGGAAAAGAAGTATTCTTGTGGTCTTAAGTTTATAGGAATTGTGGATCTGCTGATAGCTGAACTGGTGTTTTAAAAAAAATTAACATAGAAAAATGCCATGAGAAGTGCCTTCCACTGAGACGTAGCCCTCTTTGGATTTCAGGCCTCAGGCCCTTGACCCTCCAGCAACTGCCTGGGCTCTTACCTTCCTCCCTCCAGTGGCAGCAGCATCACAGGCCCGCTGAGTGCGACAGGGGCTGGCAGTTCTCAGCAAGAAGGGCTTGTTGCGAGTCACCTCTCGGGTGTCCCTTCTCTTGGCAGCTCTTCTCTGGAAGGCCTTATAAAGGCTCTCATAGTCAGGGATGGCATGATTCACCCGAGGCTGGAATCCAAAGTCAGTCTTCAGAAACCCAAGCTTTTTCTCCTGGGTTCGGGTGGCTGTGCGAGGCCGTGGCTCAGCCTGGCAACTGGAGGAGGTGATGGGGCAGGAGGCCATCTGGAGCATGTCCAGGGCTCTCATCTGGATGCGAATTTTCCTGAACAGCTCAGCTTCTGTGGAGAAAAATCAGGGTGTGATCGGTGAGAAGGGACTGAGACTCATACCAAAAGGTTTGGGGAACTTTCCCTCTTTTAAACACTAGCAGTAATGTGCTGGAGCCAATTGTTAACTTTTCAGGAATTTTGTGAGCCAGTTGACATCATATGGGAAGCCTGAAATTGGCCATGATAGGCATGTTTACACCATGGAAAATAGCAAACACTACAAATTGGCTTTTTTTCTTTCTTTCTTTCTGGAGAGCTCGTCAATAAATGTTGACAAGAATACCACTGCCAGGGGCCAATCAGGTTGCAGAAACAGCCGCCATTCACATTTACTGAGAGCTTTCTCTGGTTCTTTCTTCAGAGATAAAGGAGGAGGAATGGGCTAGTCACCTGCTCATCTCCCAGGTCTCTCCTGTCTCAGAGAAAGGCCCCACCATCCACCCAACTGCCCAAGCCCACTGCCCAAATCATTCTGACTCCTCCCTCCCTCATCTCATCAGTCACGTGTTCGGTGTCTTCCTCTTTAACCTGTCTGCAGTCCATTCTCTTTTTATCATCCCTGCTACTAATTTCATAATTTCTCAGCCAAATTATTGAAATAGCCTTCTGTTAGATCAACATCGCCCCTGCCTTGCACCTCTCCCTTAATTATCTCCTCAACCATCAGAGTGATCTTTCTGAACGGCGTATCTGATCATGAGCTGCCCTACTTCAAACCCTCCAGTGGCTCCTCAGTGCCCTTGGGTGAAGTCCAAACTCCCATGGCCTGTGCTTGCTTCTCCCCTCCCCTCTCCCTCTTTTCTCTCCCCTCTGCCTTCCACCCCCGAATGTGCTCAGCTTTCTCTTACCTCCATGCTGTATTTCTGCTTGGTACACTCTTCCTCCCTCTTTATCAAATTAACACAGCTCATCCTTCGGGGCCAGCCTCAGTGCTTACTTCTTCTGGGGACCCTAACTGTTCCCACCCCCCACCCCCTAAGTTAGGTCCTCTGTTATAAGCTCCATAGGACCCTGTAATCCTTGCAAATGACTCATCACAGTTGTGATTATTTGTCTATTATCTGTCTCCCTCCCATGTCCACAAACTCCATCTAGTCACCCTAGAACAGTGCCTCAGACATGGCGCATGTTACTGAATGAGCAAAGAAAGCCTGAGTCTCTTATTTGAGCTACACTTCTTGAAATGAGTACCTCACCAGGATGAGGGAGGGGTGGCGGCTTTCCTCAGGGCAGCTGGCCAGTGGTGGCACTGGTTTACACCCATCTTTAGATGTCTCATTTGTTTTCACATCTGCGTGGCCACAGAGGCCTTCATATGCACTCACTGAGAGAGAGGGCAAAGCTGGGGGGCACTGTAGGACCTCTCCTGGTTTCTTGCTCCTTAAAGGGCTCCCTCCTTGTACAAACAGACCCAACCCTACTCCATGGCCTGCACTGAGTGTGGCCTCTAGCAGGGCGACCTGAAAGCTCATCGCCAAGCCATGCTGACCCCCGAGCCTGACTAAATCCCCACTGCACCCCCAGGCAGGAGGCAGCAAGGTGGCAAGGATGTGTTTACCCTGGAGTTTGTCCCCAAGGGCCGGCTCCAGAATGGACTTGGGGATCCTTCTGGTGGCTTTCCGCTTGGTGACCTTGGCCTTAGCAGTGGCGGCCAATTCCCTCTGTTGAGCGGCTTCCTTTCGTTGCTCCTCCTTCTCCAGGAAGCTGAAGGGTTTTAAGGAAGAGAGAAGCAGTTCCTTCCTCTTCTGAATCCCTGCCTGCCTTCGGGCTTCATTGCGCTCCATGATTTCCTGGTAGAGGGGCAGGTAGACATGCGCCGGCACAGGCTGTGCCCGGAACTGCCGGTGGCACTCGGCCTCCTCCTGACCCTGCCTTTGGGCCTGCTGCCTCTCAAGCTCGAAGGAGGCGGGTGAGGCCAGCCACTGGGCCTTTTTCTGGGCCTCACGCACTGTCATACGAAATGGCTGAGGGACAGTGATGGATGATGCCCAGGAGCTGATGCTTCTGTGCTGGGAAGGAGGCCTGGAGCCTGCAGGTGGCTGGAGCTGACCCTTGGGAATGTCGGAGGGTAGGTTACTCAGGGAGCTGCAGCGCCTTGTGGGACCACACCTGGGGGAAGAAAACAGCTGCCCTGTGCCTGGAGGACAGGGCAGCCTGGTGGCCCGGCTCCTCCCACATCCTCCTCCTGGCTCCTCCCCCGTCTTCCAGCAGGTTGCATCCAGCTTCTCAGCCTGACATCACAGCCCCACAGGCCGCTAAGCCTTTGCCTTTCTCAGCCAGTCCTCCCTCCTTCCCACAGGCCATCTAGCAGCCTTAGTAAGAAGTCTCTTATCTAAGTTGATCCAAGAATTGCCACTTTGCACTCTAATATTTTCATATGGGGGACAGAACAATGGTGCGGAGCAGGGGACTTTAGAGTCAGACAGAACCAGATTCAAATCTGCTTCAAACAATTACCAGCTGTGTGACCTTGAGCAAGGTTCTCTTGGAACCTCAATTCCTCATCTGTAGAATGGCAAGAATATTACCTACTTACAAAGGTTATTGGGAGGAGACAATAAATATTAAATGAGATAAAGTATACATACAATAGGGTTTGGCCAAGGTAAATGTACCTTGTTGTCACTCTCAGGGAGGTAGTGTGTTTGGGAAAGGCATCCGTTTAATCAGTTCCAGTGCTTCAGGTGACTAAGGGTTACCCAAAGTGATTTAGGACTCCTGTGTAGGAATCAGAATACATGTTTGGATCCGGAAGCTGATTCTGCTGGAGCCTGGGTAAGTGGCAACTTGCAGAAGCGCTCTTTGCTTTACTGAGGAGGAACATGACTTGGTCAGAGTTGTGCAGTGAGGCAGCTGTTGAACTGCAGTGCCTTACCTCAGAGATGGTGGGTACCGGACCTTCGGCTTCCCACTGCCTTTGTCTTGGAAGAAATTCTCCAGGTCCTCATCATCTTCAGAGAGGCTCTCATCACTGTCTGGATCAGACTGATAAAGGGATTCCGACAGGCACCACCTGCCTTTCTGCTTTAGTACTTGCAGGGTCTTGTAAAAGCTCCCAGTTGAGTCAGAAGTAGAATCTGTCTCCTCTAGGCTGAGGAACTCATCAAGTTTGCCAGCCCTAGGCAAAAGCAGCCCATCCCCAGACAGCTCCTCTTCTGCCTCTGTGTCTGAGGAGGATTTGGGAGGAAATATCTAAAATAAAATAGGTGGGTCAAACTCTAATTCCAAATGTATTAAAAACATAACTGTTCATTTCACTTTGAATAAGCCTCTGTATATTAGGAACTGGGGAGAAACGAAGAAAAATAAGATGTGTTCCTTGCTCTAAAGAAATTTCACAAATTGGTATATGAGGTGTGCTTGGCTGAAAGTGTCAACCCCAGGAAAGAATATACCTACCAAGAAAGTATACTGGGCTCAAATTCATAACCAGAGTGTAGCAGCTATTGTTTACAGAGGTCCCTCATGCACACCACATATCAGGGAAAAGCTGAAGACTGAGCTGCCAGCCTAGTGTACTATGTTCCTGCCATCTGAGTTGACCCTTATAATAGAGTTCCTATGACTGTAATTCAACCAATGGGCTGAAGACCTACCCCATCCAATTAGAGCTGTGCAACTATATCCTCATTTGCACATTTACTGACCAATCAGAAGTAGACGAGTCTATGGAACATTTGCATGAAAACTGACCAATCAGGGACAGAGGAATGGACAGTCTTCTCTATATAAGCCAGCAGAGTTGCCCTGGCTTCCTTCCCGGGGTTTGCAAACTCAGCTGCAATGCTTGAGCTATTTTACTGAATCAAATCTCTCCTGTACCACACCCCAAATGGGAGACTTCTGTTGGTGTTGAATTGTGGCAGTGACCTTTGGTTGACAAAAGACAGGAAAGAGAAGCAAAGAGCTAAAGTTGGGTCCCTACTTCATGCAGTGCGGTGAGCATTTACAGAGTACCTACTCTGCACCATACTTTCTACCCCCTGTACTACCAGGAATCCTATCCATGACCTTGGCCCAAAAGTTGGGTTTTGCGAACTTTTGTCAATCTTCTTTTTCTTGCTTCCCATGTCTACGACTCTGCTTTCCTCATATTCTAGCTGATTTCCACTGGTCACTAGGAATGGATAATTAACAGGAGAGACAATGTGGTCTAGCTGAATGAGCAATGTCCTAGAATGTGGGAAACTCAACTGGGTTTAAATACTCCATTCATTCAGAAAACATATATTAGGTGATTAATGTGTATTAGGCATTAAGCTGAGAACAAGACAAAGTCCCTACTCTCATGAAGTTTATATTCTAGTGAAGGGAGACAGATGATGTAAGATGATAATTCAGTGAAATCCATAAAACTGTGGGATTATAGAGTGATGGAGTGGCTATGGGAAGCTTTCCTTATATGATGGACTATAAAAGCCCATCAGATAAAGACTATATATATCTACGTAGAGAGAGAGATATATTATGTTACATGTGTATACTTGTACTATAATCAGAGTTAGGTTTATTAATTTGCTGCAAAAAACCATGGAAAATTATAGGGAACTTGGGAGAGGGATAGCTTTTAGTAAGAGGGTGAGAGAGGGGCTTTTTCTAGGGTTAGTTTGTCCTGAATAATTCTGATGAGAGTTAGGGAAAGCAGGGATCAACTCTGAATGGATGCTGTCACAAAGAGGGTACAGTTCAGTAAGTGGATGTTTGAGCAATTTTTATTTAAAAGGTGACAAGAACAAAATGGGCTGGGTAAGTGATTAATAAGTAAGCATAACCATTTAGAAGGGAGTATTAGTCATTTACAGTATGGTGTGGTTCTATGAGAAACACTGTTCTCTGCTGATCTTGTTGCTGGCTTTATCTGGGTCTATTACAGACTGAGTTGTACTTTCTCAGACCTGGGATGATTTTTACTACCTCACTGTGGAGGAGTTCTGGATTGACACCTGACTGATCAGAAGGAGTCAGTCTTGGTCAGATCTGGGGTAAGTGGTTTCTGGGTTCAAGGAACAGCAAAGGGCTTTAGGCAGGGATCTGAGACAGGGACAAACTTGACTGTTTGAGAGATAGAAAGAGGGCCAATGTGGCTGGAGGACGGTGGCATGAGGTATCCTTAGAAAGGCAGGCGTGGTGGTGCCAGGATGGGACCAGAGGATGACTGATTGCAGCTGGAAACCAGTTGGGGGCAGGCTGCTGCAGGCCTCCAGATGACACTTGGTGATGGTTTTACTGGGTTTTCTAAGGTCCATCTCTAATACTGAAACGAACACTGGATTGAGTCAAAAGTATGTATATGCTCTAGCCCCCACTTTGCTACTGAGGGGTGTGTGATCTTAGGAAACTTCCTTTTTTAATGACTTTATTGAGATATGTCACATACTATGCAATACATACAATTCTCTTATTTAAAGTGTGGATGGGTTTTAGTATATTAACATAGTTGTACAAACATCAACACAATTTTACATTTTAATCACCCCCAAAAGAAACCCCATACCATTTAGGGGTCATTCTCTCTTTTCCCCAACTCTCCCAACCCTTCCCCACCGCACTTCCCTGCTCACCCCTCATACCTCCCACCAGCCCTAATCAATCACCATTCTACTTTCTGCTTATACGAATTTTGGTGCAAATTTCTTAATCTCTCTTTGCCACAGTTTTCTCTTCTACAAAATGGAGACGACAATCGTACGGTAGTAGAGAGGATAAGCGAAAACTGAGGGCCGTTGCGCGGTTCTGCGAAGAGCCTGACGTAAGGCTCAGGCGGTTCGGGCCAAGAGTTCTAAACGCGACCAATTTTAATCCCACGCCCCTCGGGGACACGCCCCTGCGGTCTGTCTCCAAGGCAACATCAAACTGTTTCCTCTCTTACGCATTCCTTTCCCGAATGGAGACCAGATTCCTCCCCTTCTCTTTCCCTCCTTACCTGAAGGCTCCGGGCGCCACTGGCGGCTTCCGCAGCCCTCCCCACGGTCATTTTCTCAGTGGGGCAGAGACAGAAGCGTCCGTGACAGCAGCGGTGACTGAGGCGGCGGCGCTAGCTGCGCCGGTTAGGTTCCGCCCCTTTCTAGCTTTGAGCTCTGATTGGCTCCCAGGCAGATGCATGAACCAGTCCCCCACCCAGGGAGCCTCCAATCTATCCAGCCCATGGAGGCAAAGGTCGTTTTCCGATTGGCCTATTCCCCGCGTACGTTCTATTTCCGGTTCTGAGGCCGCGAGGCTGAAGCGGCAAGTGATTGGAGAGCTCTGCTCTGGAAGTGATTCCGAAGGCGGGCCTAAGCGGGTGTCAGGCACAGAGCGGGTCCGCACCATGGCGGCTCTGTTGGCTGTGGGCAGGTTGGGGGCTGCGCCTGCTGCTGCCAGGAGAGGCCCGCTCGTCTCCTGCCGAAGGTGGGCCGGCGCCCCGGCAGACACCGTGTACGATGTGGTGGTGTCGGGTGGAGGCCTGGTGGGCGCCGCCATGGCCTGTGCTTTGGGTAAGCGCATCTCCAAGGCCAGCAGTGTCGGGGAGCGGGGCCGTGGAGGAGCGGTGAGGACCGAGGGAGCTCTGGCACTACCTTCCCAAAGTCTGAGCGTTGCGGAGCTTGTGGTCCGTTCCCTCCCCAGAGGGGCGTTAGTTTCTTCGGGGTTCCCAAGGGTCAAAAGTGGGAGGGACCTTCGGAGTCCTTCCTAAAACAGACCTGCTCTGGATTATTTAGTTACAGGCACTGTTAGAAGCAGTCAGGCATTGTTGATTTGGGCTAAGTGGTCGTTTTTGTTTTTTTAAATAAACAGCTTCACTGAATGTAATTTGCAAAAAGAAAAGATGTAATTTGCATACCATAAAGTTCACCCATTTATCATTAGTTTTTTTGTTTTGTTTTTTTCCCGTTAATCCTCACCCGAAGACTTTTTCCTTTTTTTTTAGATAGGGGGAGGAAGGGGGGGGAGAGAGAGGGAAACATGGATGTGAGGGGGACACGGATTGGTTGCCTCCTACACGCACCTGACACGGGCCAGGATCCAACCTGCAACTCAGGTATTTGACCAGGAATGGAACCAGAGACCCTTCCGTGTATGGCCAACTCTAACCACTAAGAGACACCATCAGAGCACCGCTAGTTGTTTTGTTTTTTTAATTTATTGGTTTTAGAGAGGGGGGGGGATGAAGAGAGGGAGAAACATTGATTTGTTGCCCCACTTACCATGCTTCATTGGTTGATTCTTGTATGTGCCCTGACTGGGGATCAGCCCCCAACCTTGGTGTACCGGGATGCTCTAGCCAACTGAGCTACCCGGCTAGGGTTAAAGTGCACCCATTTAAAGCATACAATTTAATAGGGTTTTTTTGTATACTTACAGAATTGTGCAGCCATCACCACAATAAATTTTAGAACATTTTCATCACCTTCAAAAGAAACCTGAACCCATTAGCAGTCAGTGCCCATTTAGCTCTAGGACTGATTTTTTTCAACCTTTTTCATCTCACAGCACACCAAAAAATATATTTTTTGCCGATCTGACACACAAAAAGGTATAATTTTGATTCATTCACACTGAATGGCTATTGTGTTGGCTGTTGTCATTTTCTTTTTTTTTAATCCTCACATGAGGATATTTTTTCCCCATTGCTTTTTTAGAGAGAGTAGAAGGGGGAGAGAGAGAGAGAGAAACATTGATGCGATCGAGCCTGCAACCGAGGTACATGCCCTTGGCCAGAATCAAACCTGGGACCCTTCAGTCTGAGAGCCGACACTCTTAACCTCTGAACCAAACCAGCTAGGGCCACTGTTGTCATTTTCTTACTTTATGATCTAAGGAAGAAGTTCCATGCCCCTGACTAGTCAGGTATTGCATGTTTTAAAAATTCTTGTGGCACACTGGTTGAAAATTGCTGCTCTAGGCAACCGCTGGTACTTTTCTGTCTCTGTAGATTTGCTTTTTCTAGATGTTTCCATACATATGAAATTAATGTTTTCAAGGTTCATCCAGGTTGTAGCATGTGCCAGTGCTTCATTCACTGCCTGGGGAGGGGAGGCTTGAGTGAGTAGGATCCTTAAGAGAGGTGGCAGGAGGCATTAGGGTGCAGTGACTACTGCTGGATCAAGGTATAGAGGTGTGATGGCCCAGAATGCAATTCATGGTCCCCACTCCCACCCACCAATGCAAATTGCTGTGGTGCTGACACACAGCTGCGGGGCTCTGGCAACCAATCACATTTTTTTCCCCTTTCTTGGCAGCGGCAACTCACTGCTTATTTTCCCCTGTATCTTTCTCTGAGACAGTGGAGGGACTGACTGTAATGTGCTGCAGCCCAGTAATAGAATCCCCAAGTCCCCATTTTGCTTACTGATGCAGTGTTTTAGAGCCAGACTTATTTTTGTTCCCCTTTTCTTTTACAGACTCTAGTTCTTTATCCTTGATTTAATCTTGAGGCCACAGTGAATTTTGCTTATTAACTACATTTTTCTGTTGAATAGGATTTGTAATTTTCAGTGATGTAATACTTTGAAGATTGGAAATACTAGTCTCAATACCAGTCTTCCTTCTTTGACCTCATTCTTCCTTTCAGGGGAATTCTATTGGCTTGTGATGGATTTTGGCATTATTTGCTTCTTTGCAGATGACGGATGTTGGACTGTCTGGAGAAAACTTACGGTGGTTGGCGGGGTATTTGGCGTGGTTTAGGACTCTGCATGGTGTTTCCTTCTTGTGTGCCCTGTAAGAAATTTGTACCGTAAGGGTTAAGGAATTAATCTGTTGCCTCTCTTGGCAATGAATAAAAAATTCTGATTTTTTTAAATGATATGAAATTTTGCTTTTTTTTTTTTTTTTTTTTTTTT